CCGTACATGAAAAGCCCCAATATGTACATTTCATACGTGGCAAAACACAACGGAAGCCCACGGATGTTCAAAAGGAAGTTCAGCGTTTCCACTGTGGAGTGGCCAACTATTCTGGGAAACATGGGGGGAGGGGTCCCACAGAAAGGGAGCCATGTTGAATGGTGTTTAAGGCAAGTTTCGGAACAAAATCAACATTTCGGGGGTCCAACTCCTATTTCAGAACACATCTACATACCCTTCTGTGTTCCAGGTTCATCAGTCGCCCCAGCTTAAAATGTCAAGAACCTCAAGACGATGACATTTGAGAGGATCATTTTAAGAGGTTCCAAGGTGTCCGCAAGGTTGTTTCCCCGCCGGCCTGCGGCGCCTCCTCTGATACCTGGCCAGTGCGACTTGAGGTCGCAGGAAGCGGCCGGAACGGCGCCGTGTCAAGCACCAGCCTTGCGAAACTCGGCCACGAAGCTCTGGTGGACGCAGTCCCAGGGCTCCTGGAACAGCTGGCGCTGAGATATGTCAAGCAGAAGGAACCTGCAGCTTGCCCTATGGTTCCACCTAGCAAACCAGCGGCTGGGGCATTCCTGGCCGGGATGCTGCCCTCCTTCAGACCACAGTCCAGGCATGGCAAATGGGGACGTGCCAAGGTAGATCTTCAAAAGAGAACTGCAGGAAAGCCAACCGTCTGGTCAAGAGTCCTTGGAGTTGACACGGCTGCAAACAAATGTCTTGGTACTCCCCACCAAATCTGCCGACCATGATCTAAAATGGACCATGGCTTTGGCATCAGGCCGTCGTGTTCCGTGTTGCGATGGAGCATAATAGCTGCTAGGGTATGAATTTTGATCGGTCGGAACTCCTCCCCTCCGCCCGCCGCTTTAGTCTGTCACAACAGGTACACGGAGGCAAAAGTAGCTGGCTACTTTTTGCAACTGAGGAGAATCCACCCACCCGCACCGACAATCTCAGGAATGGGGAAATCGAGGGTGGGACAGGCTGCCCCTCGGCATTGTGGGTCCGAATCCTTTAGAAAACACGCCGACGGCCCAAAGGCTCCAGGTGTTGCTGGTGTGCTGTTTAAGGAAACCACAGGTGCTGAAATGCCGTGACATGGAAGAAACCAAAAAATGAAAAGGGATCGTGCAGGCTCCGCAACCGACCCTCACGTCGCCCACAAACAGCTCCTGGGGCTGGAGAGAGAACCACATCTCATGCCTCGGCTCTGGCCACATGGGCCGTTGGGAGTGATCATGTGAGTCACAATCAAAACCCCATAGCCCATATTGAAATGGTTGACTCAGAACCATGCAAAGAATTAAGAAGGCGGCCGCGGCGATTCTTGGTTGGGATTGTCCCTTACTAACCTTCATCTACCCAGGTCTTGATTGTGGCTCATGTGCAAGATGGGCACGTGTCAAAGCTGCGGCTCCCCTTTTGTCAGCGCTCAAAGAATGCGGCCGGAGGGGTCAGGGACACGCACAAACGATCACCCGGAGAGTCGTCTAAACTGGGCGTCCAGCGGTCCCCGTGCAGTCAGACCTCGGCCCAGTGAGGCGGACAAACGGCCAAAATCCAGACCACGCCTGTGGATGGCTACAAACGCCTTGACAAGGCGCCATGTTGGGGCACCCTGAAGCTTCACCACCCTAGCAGCCAGCTCAACCCATCACTCGATTCTTTCGCCACACCTTTCCACCTGGGGTGCCGGCTCACCAACGGAGGCTCTGCTGGAATTGCCGGGGTCGCGAACTCGGCCCAGAGCGCGCGAAGGGCTCGCCCGATATTTATTCAGCGCCAAGAAGGCACCGTCCCCTCAAAGCCCAAGCTCCGGATCTTACACGAAAGACTCTCAAGGGTGACTGTCAATCGGCTGTGAATCTAAACTGGGGAATCTTGAAGAGGTACTTTCAACCATTGGCAGCGCTAAGCTCGTTTTGACACAGAGCGAATAGAGTAGACCCAAGATAAGACCCCCTTCAAACCATCCTCAGAAGTGACCAAGGCACTGGGTTTGCCTCGCGACCCACTTGTTTTTGAAAAACCCGACTTGTTGCCTGCGGGGGCCCTTTACAGTGAGCGCTTGCCCTTCCCCACGAGCTGGGTCCCCCGGCCAGCGCCCAGATTTCTGTCCAGTTGCTTTGGGCCAAAGGATCCAAGCAGTAGGCCCGCACCTCAGCTTCCGACCCCAACCCGCACTGATGGACCAGCCTGTCCTTTGGCCAAGCCCATGCTGAACTTTCAGTTGGATAAAAAAATCGCTCCGTCAATGCGCCGCGGGCATCCTGGTGGCATTTGGTGGCGCCTGCAAAGAGGTCAACAAGGAAGGTCCAGCATTTGACCAACTGCCCTAGTGCTCTGGTTAGACCTTCGGAAGATTTCATGGCGTGGTACCCTTACCCATTCCTGCACAGCCTATGCGAGCCTGGCATTCATAAAACCGTGGAACAACAGGCAACACAACTAGAGATCAAGACTTCCGTTTGTTGTTGTTCCAAAAGGAAAACCCGACGTTCGGCCAGGCTTTTTCCCCCTCAATCCCCTCCACCCACGGCTGAGGCCCACGCCCGCGCATCGTAGGTGGTCTGAGACTCAATGCCTCCCGTGCCAAGTCGACTCAGCTATCGAGGCCCAGGGGAACCACCTCCTCATGGAATCAGAGCTTCATACATGGTATAATGCTGCAGAAACGGCGGAGAATTCAGATTACCTGACTCTGTCCGCGAGACAATCAGCTTGCACCTGGGCATGAGTGTCCAATCGGATCACTAGAATCGCCATTGGCTCCCTACTCCAAGTACCCAGGTCCCTGATCGCGAGGTATACTCGGTGCGTCTAAAGTAGAGGCCCCACCTCAAATGGCAGGTGCCCCTTGAGTGTTTCCAAGTGACAGTTGATCGGTGCCCTTGTGCTCCCGGTGCCCATGTGGCGGCGATGCGCCTTCCGTGATGGTGCAGTTGACCTCATCCTTCACGGAATTGACACCTGGGAGGTGGTCGCGGCAACAGCCGCCAAGCCGCCAAGCAGAAAAAAAGCACAAACACGAGGTTTCAACATCAGGCCACACAATGTCTCTCCAATGTGTTCTCCTCTTGTGGTCCCCTCCCCCAAGAGGAGAACATGTGCAATGCACGTCATGCAAATCTTCTTTTCAGATTCCTCGCTTCCCGAACGAAAGCACGCGTCTTCCCGCCAAATCATGCTGTAGTTCGCTTGTTTACCACATTCTCCGCTCGTAGCGAAAAATCCCTCACCTTGCACATACAAAGAACGGTGGAGAAAGCAACAAGTAACATTTGAAAGGGGACCGATTTAGTGGCTACAGCCATCCCCTCTGATCGGCCACAACCAGGTTTCTTCATGTGGCTCAAGCGGAAATGGGGCGCGGGGGGCCTTCTTCATTTCCACCTGGGGGAGCATTCCGCCCCTTCAACATGGGCGATCCCCACCAATCAACCCGGTATTCAAATAGTCTACCCAGAACCACGTACAGAATCAAGGAGGCGGACGCAGCTACTTCTGGCTGGGATTATCCCTTACTAACCTTCATCTACCCGAATCGGTTTTGAGCACGTGGCTCAATTGACTATTCGAACTGAGGAATCCCAAAGCGATCTTCAGGCTGGGCCCAGGGCACTCGGGCACCTCCTGCCAGGGCCCGTCGCCGCTCCGCAGCTGCAGCTGCCAACCTCAGAATGGGGGTCCGGGGTGAGGGGTTCTGCTGGGGAGGGGTTTAGGCATGGGTTTTTGGGTGGCAGTTCAAAAGAAAGCACCAGGAAGCTGACCAATTTAAGAGGGCCGCTAGCTTGAAGACACCAAGTCAGGTGGGTGTGCATAGCCGCCCAAGCCAAACTAGTTCCAGGTGATTATTGATCAAACTTGGCATTGAATGGGTCTGTCCAACATCAAGCTAAGGAAAAAAAAGAGCGGGCGCTTCTGTCCCCATACTAACCTTCAATTACCTACGAGTTGATTGTAGCTCACGTTGGGGTTCCCCGGTTCTGCTTCTTCCTGAATGCCTACGCTTCTGCTCCCAACGCGTGTATTGGGCCAAGGCCGAGCAGGTCGTAAGAAGCGACCAGCTAAGAATCAGAAGGGCCAAAGGATGCCTCTCCCTCTCATAGTTCAAGCACAATGTCACCTTCGTTGGCGTAAGGTTTGCCGGGAAGCGGTGGCCAAGAAATCAAGAAGCAAAGATATCAGGTTTTAAAAAGGCACACGTTTCAATCCCCTCCGTTGGTGGGGGGGGGGGGATTCCCTTGAGTGTACATGCTTGTCCTGGTGCAAGTACAACCCCCGTTCATCCACGAGGTGGCAACAGCAAATTGTGCATGTTGTATGCCCTTTTATTGAACCGAGATGCCCCCTGCTGCTACATTTCCAGGCTCGCCCCAACTGGGCCCCACTGTACAGT